AAAAAAAATTCACAATAATACTTCAGTTGGTAGTGCATGTAAGAAACAATCACTAAAATGCATAATGTGTGAAATATTATTATCATAAGCAATACATTTTTTTTCCTAACAAGATATTTTTAAAAACAAAAAATTGAAATATAACTTTAAACAAAAATGGTGATACGTGTCAYGTAAGATCAGATAATTGATTAATTTATTTTTTTCTTAAGCCAATTATAATCCCTCCATTTATGTAGAGTATAAAATGAAAACGGTATGTTTTAAAAATTCTATTTAATTAGTTTTAACTTATTTACATTTGTAAGGATAATGCTTCAGTTGGTAGTGCATGTAATAAGCAATCACTTAAATTCATGTAAGTGTGATAAATCATCATCATAAGCAATAATTGAATATATATATATATTGTACACTTCTCAACATTTTGATCATTTACAAAAACGCAAATAGTAAATAATTAAATAACACGTAATAATTAATATTTTAGATGATGCGCATCTATTGAATAAAATGTAACTTTTACAGAATGTTCATTTTATGTAAAATATTAACTGGTTTAGAAAATGTATCAGAAATACAATTGTATTGATTATAATTATTACTATTTAAGTATAATGCTTCAGTTGGTAGTGCATGTAATAAACAATCACTTAAATTCATAAAATAGTGAACAATTATCATCATAAGCATCAAATTATKTTTTTGAAAAAATTCAGTCCAAATATATAATTTTTGAAAATATTTTCGATTGCAATTTTTTCTAAAATAGAATCAATATCAAAATACAAGAATTAAAAAATACAAAATTGTTTTGCTACAATAAAAATTCAAAATTTTATAATACATTTTATTCAATATAAACAACAGTAATGTATATAATCATTTATGAATATAAAAATAAATGTCATAAATTACTATCATGAGTAATCAAATTATGAATCATTTATATTGATGTTGAATGTTAAAATAGCATTGAAAACATATGAGAATATTTTTTTTGTTGGTTATAATACAATGCATACAATAATTTTCAATAATTTACATACTATAATTCATTGGTTATTTTATTATTAAATAATTCGATAAAAAATATTCTTATTAACATAATATTTTGAAAGAATCTTCAATGCATGTAATGTATTATATCAATGGCAATAGCAAATATTAACATACTAAAAATAATAAAATAATCCTTATTTTTACATATTATTATTTACGAACCTGAAATTCTTTAACCTCTTCACGAAGATACAAAAATGCTCTTTGTGCATCTTCATCATTTTCAAAAGTAATGTACCATGAATTATTATGAGCAAACTCACATGATATCATTTTAGGACATGATTCTCCAGCAAATAATCCCTGTGATCAAAAATAATTAATATAAGATTGAGAAAAATAACAGATAAACATTCTAACTACAAACCTTAATGTCTTCAATTGGAGTAGTTTGAGGAATTTCTCGCAAGATAACAATACAACGTTTGTGATTTGGGCGGACTTTTAAACCTTCATCATCAACTTGCACATTTGGTGACTCTAATTGAGCATTAATATAAATTATTAATATAAAATTAAAAATACCTACTAAAAACAAAATTTACCTCTCAATACTTCAGTGATCAATTTAATGTCTTTAGTCAATTTTTTTACTTGATTAAAATTGGCAACAGTCCATATTGGAACATATTGGTCATTGTCCATTTGTGACAATAAGTATGCATCATTTGCCAAATTCTCTCTATTTAATACATTTTAAGTGATATTGATAATCTTAATTGTTTTAAAAAGTAAAAATAATAATATGGATTAACAAAAATTGTAGATTATAATTTTACCTTGAAAAATAATATTCTAACTGGTTTGATAAAAGTTGTTTGAGTTGTTCTACTGACTGCGATGGCATATTTTCAGTAGAAGTCTCAGCGTTCACCATTGTGCTATTTTTTCCAGTTAAAATTACTGTACCACTTCTACTATCCGATGCCGACACTTCATAACTTCCATTTATGGAACTAAAATTTAAAACAAATAATTTTATGTGTTATCAATATTATAATAATTCTCACATTATACTAATAATGCTACCAATACAAGTTACAACCAATCAGAATGTAAGAATGGCATCTTATATCRGTTAGTATATCAATTACAACTACCACTCTTATGTGGAATTACGTGGATATGCAATACACATAATTTATTGTGTAATTTTAATAATTTTTGATGATGACATCTTTATAAATTTCACAAATTATTAGTTTATTATTTTTTTATTAAGTTAAATAAGTAGAGGTTGGTATCCAAATCAATTATTTGAGTTTTGGGCATCCAGCATAAACACAATGGAATACAAATTTCAAACAATACAAACATTTATATTTTTACAACTATTATTATTCAGGTTAATATTGGGTTTATATATTTGTCAACTGGTCTATGTAAAATTTAAGCAGAGGMCCATATATCTATTTAATTCATAAGATTTGTATTATTATTACTATTCAACTATGTGACAAAACTATGATAATAAAATAATTATGTCTTTTTAGATTGTTACTTATACCTAGTTGAATAATCCAAATATAATTTATTCTACTTAAAAATCAATACATGTTGAATGCCAGTCAACAATTATTATTAAATTAACAACAAAATTAAATAAGCCACAGAAAACAAACACATAGCCACATAGGTATAAAAAGAAACCATTTTTAAGTAAAAAACTATGAGGGTTTTAAGTGTGCTAGAATCTTATAGAGTTTTAAAATTAGCTCATTTTTCTCCCATGGAATAAAAACATATAATGCTTTAATATATAGGAATTAGAAGTTGTGGTTGTGAATGGGTATTAGAATGCACAAGTACATGAGTAAAATATTTATTAAAGTCCATGTATTTAATACCTGTGCAAGTTTGTCTATTTATCATTACTCGTGTATATTGTATTTTAATTCAGAATTCACATATACATTTAACATAAATATTTTTAATAATATAATGTCATGTATATTCTATTTTTTATTTATAAATAATTATTAATTGGTTATTATTTTATTTATGAATAATACAAATTGTATAGCTATTAATTATCTAACTATCTTTTATTATTTAAGCATTTAGAGATACTATTCACATACATAAAAATACATAACAAAAATTACATGCACACATTTATTTACTTATTATAATTTACTAATATTATTAAAAAATGTGATCATAACATAAACTAGGAAGTAGTGAACACAATAAATGTATTTTGCCATGTTGAGTTCAAAAAGTGGAGCTATCGTAAGACACAATTATGAAGTAGTGAAATACGAGTATTATATTATATTATATTATATTATATATGAGTATTCAAGCTTATGGATATTTATATACACAGGTGTCCATGGTGTTCATAACACTGTGTAATCATAAATACTGATAAGATTTTCTAAATTATACAAAATAAATATTGAATTCTAAATAAGACTTTAAAATTTGAAATTCATAAATTGGGAAATAACTAAAATCATAGTTTGATAATGAATTATAAATAGAAAAAAATATTTAGTAACAATAATTAATAAAAATAATTTGTCACTTACACAAAGTATAAATAAATGTAATACAGATATTAATATAAATATTTTGTATAAGATTATCTAATACTTAAGCAACATTTCGACACCATAATGAAAAATTGTGATAAATCATTAGGTTCTAATAATGTACATTTAATTTATTAACAATGTCTATCCATATGAATATTTTTAAAAATGAACCAAAAATAAAGAATTAACAAAATAAATTCACACAAAAAATAAAAATTATAAAGATTTTTGATCTGTTACTTTCAAGTTAACCAGAATAGAGTAATATTGGATAAATTTAATAATTTTAAAGTATAACAAAAAATTATTGTGCATGAATAGAATGTTTGACCAGCATGTGTTGTCTCCATCTTACCACAGACACAACATATTATGTGGTTAAAATATCCTTTTAATATGCAGGAATGTTTAACATACAAAATAAATATTCAATTCAGAATAAGACTTTATACTTTGAGATTCATAATTCCTAACTATTATAATTTGCAGTTTTGATAGTAAATTATTAATACCAAAAATATCTATAACTAGTATTTAATAAAAGCAATGTCACTTACATAAGGTATAAACTTAAAAAAATATATTTATATAAGCACTTTGTACTTTGTAAGTATTTAATACTTTAGCAACACTTCGACACCATAATGAAAAATTATTATAAATCATTAGGTTCTAATAATGTGCATTTAATTCAAAATTAATTCTATCAATAGAAATATTTTTAGAAATTAACAACACAAATAAGCAGATAAAATAATTTTAACCCTATACAGGGTTTTTAGTAGAGCTGGGCCAATAACTTTCCAATATCCGATATAATAAGTATGAAACTTTGAAATATAAACCGATATACCATATTTCGGTAAAGATAATTAATACATTTTTATGATGATTAATATTCTACTTTAAAAAAATAAACAATGAAATTTCTTCTAAAGAATTAATAATAATAATAATATAATATAAATGTATTTATATTTTATAATAACAAAAAAGTCAAAAAAAAATCTCCATTTAACTTGGGTAAGTATACTTCTGTTTTACCAGATATCATTTTTTGTCTTTTAACATTTTATGTAGTTAAGCAAACCGAAAATTATGGTGAAATCAAAAATAAACAGTCTGACTTAGTTTTAAAGTTAGAGGTATTTGAAGTCTGAGACCCACCCAAGGAGGTTAGGTACATAAGAAGTTGAGGGATACTTTTAATTTTAATTGTCTGAACGAGYGAGTGACCACACCAGGCACCTATGAAAATACTATGAATTGCAAACAGCTAAAACTTTATAACAAGTTTGATGCTAAATTCTAACTTATCTAATGTTTTTAGCATACTTGACTACATATAATTAAACAAAAAAATTACCAAAAAATAGTGTCCACTAAAAAGAATTGTCATTTGGCTCTTTAATTTTTTAAGCTTAAAACTAAAAAATAATATTTAAAAAATGTATAGTAAAATTTATGATTTTATATTTATCTTATAATTAATCACAATTGATAATATTATTAATTAATGTTTATAACTTTATAACTATTGATACTATAATAATGAATAATTGTTGGGTTATTATCATTAAATAATACAATTATAACTATGATAAAATAAAACATAATTGTTTTACAAACACACAATTGTGGATACAACATAAAGCTGAACTTAAAAAAAGCGGGTAAGTCGTGGATGTCGCTCTGCTGTACTGTAGGTTACTGTAATGGATGGGATTAAATTTGAATGCAATGATGGGTATCATTGTATACGAAAAACGATTCTGAATGGAGATGATTTGTCAGTCTAGGATATATTATATTTAAATATTGTCACATATTCTATTTTGAAACAAATAT